GGGCCAATTTTACACTCCTATCAATGTGAATGTTAATATGTCAATATGAATATTCACATTGTCAACGAGCCGGGCCGGGCCCGCCCTGGGCAGCGGGCTGGTTTCGAGCCGCCCACGAGCCATGGGCCAATTTTACACTCCTATCAATGTGAATGTTAATATGTCAATATGAATATTCACATTGTCAACGGGCCGGACCGAGCTCTCCCGGGCCGCCCATGGGACGCGAGTCAATTTTACACTCTTATCAATGTGAATGTTAATATGTGAATGTGAATATTCACATTGTTAACAGACCGGGTCGGTCTCGCCCCGGGTCGTCCACGGGCCGTGGGCTAGTTTCGAGCAGTCACGGGGCGCGGGCTAATTTTATACTCTTATCAATGTGAATGTTAACATGTCAATGTGAATATTTACATTATCAACGGGTCGGGCCGGCCTTGCCCAGGGCAGCCCACGAGCCGCAGGTGGGTTTCGGGCCGATTACAGGCCGCGGGCTAATTTTACACTCCTATCAATGTGAATGTTAACATGTCAATGTGAATATTCACATTGTCAACGGGTCGGGCCGGGTCCGCCCCGACCCGGGCTTCGGGCTGCCTACGGGTCATGGGCCAATTTTACACTCTTGTCAATGTTAATGTTAATGTTAATATGTCAATGTGAATATTCATATTGTGAACGGGCCGGCCCGGGCCCCCTCCGGGCGACGGGCTGGATTCGGGCCGCCCACGGGCCGCAGGCCAATTTTACACTCCTATCAATGTGAATGTTAACTTGTCAATGTGAATATTCATATTATCAACGGGCCGGGTCGGGCCTATTTTTTTGGCTTGTGGGCCGGCCTGGCCGGACTTGAATTTTTCCGGACACCCACGAGGATCGACATGAGCCGGGCCCCTACACATTGACGATATAAACATTTATATTGACAGTGTGAACATTCACATTAAGGGTATTTTGGTAATTATGTCACCTATAGGACTTATTGAAACATAAGAAAATAATGTGAACTAAATGGAACATAAGTAGATGAAAAGGGTATTTTGGTCTTCTTATATCAAATTGGACCTAATGAAATAGTCAAAAAGAATATGGGTTGGATGGAATAAAGCTCTTGGAAAATGGATTTATCAAAAAAGCTCTCTAAATTTATTTATGGGGTGTCCAATTTGGATATGTAATTTATTGACGGAAATTTGAAGTCTGATTAGAAATTGAAGGCCCAAATGGCTTGAGAAATCAAAATTGATAATGGAAATATGTTTAACTTAATATATGGAACCTTTTGACATAAGAAAATAATGTGAACTAAATGGAACATAAGTAGATGAAAAGGGTATTTTGGTCTTCTTATATCAAATTGGACCTAATGGAACAGTCAAAAAGAATATGGGTCGGATGGAATAAAACTCTTAGAAAATGGATTTATCAAAAAAGCTCCCTATTTTTTATAATAAAATTTTCATTTTTGGGGACAAAAAAATTTGATTCCTAAATTTTTATATGTTGTAGCGATACTTCCATAAAATTGACGACGAAATTGCATGTACATACAAAAAAAAAAAAAAAAAAAAAAAAAAAAAAGAAAAGAAAGAGAGAGAGATAGTGGGGTGCATCAAAAGAAATGAGACAAAAAAGGAAAATAATTATAAAAACTTAAAAAAATATCTTAGCAAAATGAAACATTTAAAGTGACAAAAATTTCATTGAAAAGAAAGAAAGAAAAGAGGAAGCATAAAGATTTAGGAAGAACACTTGAAACTTCAAAGGAGCAAATTGAAAAAACAAGTTTTCATTTAGAAGTCAAGTATAATTTTCAACCAAAATAAATAAATAAATAAATTGAGAAGGAGCTAACAATGTAAATTACAAAATTGAACCCAACGTGGCTCTATCAATAGCCGTTATAGATAATATTTAGATTTTAAATTTATAAGTCCCATACAAATTTGCAATTCGTAGAAAACAATAATCATGAAAACTTGAATTACAATATGTCTGAAAATCAAAATCATATCACATAAAAATGAATAATCGCTGCCAAAACCTTATTGAAGGGCCAAAGGAGAGGAGAGACAAATATTAAAGAGAGGGCTTGACAAAAATTGAATTGTGGTCCTAATAGTATCTTTGTTCTTCATGAATTCCTTGTCTTTCCCTCAATCTGTTCATGTGATCTATATAGAGATAATAATAAACAAAGACAAATGAACTCTCACTAGCCACTCTCTATTGCTGTTGGAAAAATCCAAAAAAAACAACTAATCTTTCAATGTGGTAGACTACAAGTAGGCATTTGTTCCTTTCTGTTCCTATATATCAAACCTGCATGCATGCACATGTGAGGTTGAGTTGAGGATTAGATGGAGGTCCCTTTCCAATTATTTTTTTAAAAAATTTGGGAAAAATTATACAAATGGTAAAATGTGCATTTTGGTCCTTAATTAATATCTAATTTTTATCAAATGTATCCTTCAACTTCACGCATTAATCCATTGTAATCTCATCTCTAACTGTCGTTGTAAAAATAATTGAAAATGTCAATATCAACCTCACATCAAGTATTGAAAGGAATGAAAGACATTTTAACTTGTTTATTTATGCTAAATAGTATCCGTAAAAGAGCCAAGTCAAACACGCTATGTATTTGGCTCTTAGTCATTTTTCGATTTTAATACAGTAAATCGTAGTATTATATGGTTTCATTTTCAAAACTTGTTTTTTCTGTATTTATTTAAATTCTTAGAAAGAGAAAAATAAATATAAAAAGATATTTATGAATTTTCAAATAATATTTCTACCCCAAACTAGATAAAATCATATGAAAATGACAAATATTTTTTTATTGAAAGGTTAATTACGAGAACCAAACCAAACAAGATTTTTGAATATTTGAGAGAGATTGCATCCCAATTCTTCTAGGTTGTGAAATGAGATAAAATTTTCCCAATTCCCTTCAAATGTATGATATACGGTGGCCGACATAAGCATTCTTCGTCTATTAATCTTTAACCAAAAGTTGAGAAATGAGACTGAATTAAATTAATGTGTAAAATTTATAGATACAATTAATACAAATTAAAAATTAAATACTAAAAAAATAATAATTTACCATTTTATTTTTTATTTTTTTAAAATTTTATCCACATCACATGCATAGGGATGTTGGTTTCTAGATGATGAATGTGTGGCGATGGACTCTGATGGGGAGGCCTTTGGGAAAATCGACAAATGGGAAAGCAAGAGCTTGGTCTGTATCGGCTAGCTTCCAGCTGAAGTTGAGGACTAGATGGTGAATGAATACAGCCATCTCTAGCTTGGCTAATTCGGAGCCGGCACAGAGCCGTGGTCCTCCCCCAAAGGGCATGAATGTATTATTACTCATTGTTGACGTGGCCAACCATGAAGAAGAACATGATGATGATGATCCACGAATATTCTGTAGCAACAAGAGGAACAAATAAACCAAGCTTAATTTAAAAAGAAAAAAAAAAGTATAGAGAAAAATAGAACAAAATGGACAATCAAGAAGTTTTGCATTCAAATTTTTTTTTTAAAAATTTTATTTTATGTAGGGTATCTTGAATTAACTGAAATAGGTAAGTCAAACCTGAAAAATTTCCAAATCTAATGCCTCATCCATTAGGTCAAACCTTTGGAAAATTTCAGAGTCAGGTTCTATTTAAGATTTGCTCTTTTTCTAATTGCTTGGTTTATGAGTTTAGGGGTGGCTGTGAACGTAAGTGTACAATCTTGGGATGAGTATGTGTTTTAACTCTACAAAGCTAGTTGTTACAAAAACTGTATGAAAATTGGATGAAGGCTACTATGGAGGAATATGGGAAGTTGTGGGGTAAGCTATTTTAGCCTCAAGTTTGAAAAAAATCATTTAGCTTTTACTGTAGCTGAATCATTGATTTATATTAAAAAAAAAAAAAAAATGTAACTCGACAGCCAGCCTACAGTTAGTGGCACTGACAGCTTACCACTGTCGCTTGGCAGGTTGTCCCACCGGTAGTAAATGACACTTTTGCCCCTTTACACCAATTTTGAAAAAAGTGGAATTAGGGACAAATTTGTCATTTCAACCTCTAATATCATTTCAAACACATTTTTCAATACAACAACTCAAATAAAAATTCATCCCATATTCACAAACACAAAAACTAAAATAGCCTAATAAAATAGCTAAAAAGCCAAAAAATTTAAAAAATAGCCACTTCCCAAACACCCACTATATATTAGTTAGAGATAGTAAATTTAACTCGAACTCAACCATCAACCTGCCTGGTTACCCCAATTTGAAATTCGTTTAAGTTCATAAATAAATTTAAAAGGGTTAGAGATGAGCACTTGTTTAAATAAGTACCACCACATACCCTACATCTATCACCACCCTACTCCATCGCACCACCACCTCCCCGCCACTTCATGACCACCACGCCATCTCACTTGATTTGTTCAACATATACATAATTTAACATTATACGTTTAAATTTGTTAATTATATGGACGAGTTTAAGTTGATTGTTTTATTACATAATTTAGTTTGACTTGTCTAAAGTTGTCGGTTTAGCACCTCTATTACTATATGATTTTTTTTTTTTTTTTTTGTTTCTTATGTGGAACTTGTATATACACATAATATTTGTTATCTAAAATTTGTGTAAGAATTAAAAAAAAATTTATAAACTTGTCAAATATAATATTTTAAATTCGAAATGTTTTAAATTGCTTACTCAAATTTTCTCTAGAATTTTTATTTTCTTTCTTAATTGCTTTCAACATAACAACTTAAAATTCTTTTTAAAAAAATTTAAAAGAAAACAAAAATAATAAACATTTCATAAAGATTTTAGAAAGGGTTCTTGCACTAATGCCACTTTTAGAAAAGAAGAAAAATAAAATAAAAAAGAATGCCGTATTGAGATGGACTTGGACCAGCATCATGCAGCTGACCCACCACGAAAAGCACTCGTGCACATGCACGTGCAGTTGAGAGCCCCACACGCACATGGGGGCTTTAATCATCTCCATGCGACCCCAACCCACCATCGCACACACGCACGTGGGCGACTGATCGACTACATCATCAACATCCATATTGTGGGACCTTAATACGTACGGTGCGCAACATCTGATCACGATCAATGATCATTTACGGTTCATCATAAGGCCTACAACTTCGGTGGAGTTTATACATGCAATACACTAGAATTTTATCACCTTATCCCTTGATGCGACCTACCCAATGGTCTTCACAGCGGTATTGAGAAAAAATATGGGCAAATTACATATACACCCCTCCAGGTTTGACAAAATTACAGATACCCCCCTGAGGTTTGAGAAATTACGAATTCCCCCCTGAATGCTATATTTGCATAAGAAATTAGGGGGTAATTTGTTATGAAATATAAACCTCAGGGGGTAAATTGTTATGAAAATACAAACCTCAGGGGGCGGGATGTAATTTCCGAAACCTCAGGGGGGTATCTGTAATTTAACCAAACCTGGAGGGGTGTATATGTAATTTGCCCAAAAAAGAATTAAAAAAATGATAAATATTATAAATATATAATAATATTTCAAAATCACTCCTAAATAGTAATTCTACCAAAACTATGGTACAATCCCGAAATTATTTTGAGTTCGTGAATTGGTTTTTTGACTTTTTAATTATTTTAATTTAAGATTAAAATTTTTCGTTTGGAATAGATTTTTTTTACTTTTGTAAGAGGAAAAATGAAATGATTATAGGTTAGATGTGACATTTTATTCTATTTAATTAAAATAGCCTATTTTATCTTATATAATTATTTTAGCCGAAAATGTTATGCCAAATAAACCTTTTATATGATGCTCCGATATAACTTTTATTGATTAAAATAGTATAATAATATCATTTTTATATTAATTTTTTCGAACAAAAGAAAAGTATCACAGAATAAATTATGTTGAGCAATATTCGAAAATTACCGGATAACTTCTCTTTGATTAATCCCGAAATTATTTTGAGCTCGTTTGGGATGTGAATTGGTTTTTTGACTTTTTAACTATTTTAATTTAAGATTAAAATTTTTCGTTTGGAATAGATTTTTTTTACTTTTGTAAGAGGAAAAATGAAATAATTATAGGTTAGATGTGACATTTTATTCTATTTAATTAAAATAGCCTATTTTATCTTATATAATTATTTTAGCCGAAAATGTTATGCCAAATAAACCTTTTATATGATGCTCCGATATAACTTTTATTGATTAAAATAGTATAATAATATCATTTTTATATTAATTTTTTCGAACAAAAGAAAAGTATCACAGAATAAATTATGTTGAGCAATATTCGAAAATTACCGGATAACTTCTCTTTGATTACTTCGTTGGATTCGTAATCATTAGGGGTTTTAACCTGATAATCATTATGTGCACAGTAATGTTGTAGACTAATAGGAATCAAGGCTTTGTTTGATTTGTGTTTTGAAATATTATTTTAAAAATAATTTTTAAAAAGAGTTTAGAAAATTTAAAAATTTATTTAGTTGTTTATTTGGAAAATAGTTTTGAAACTTGGGATAATTTGATATTTTTTTGTAGTTACATAGATAGGTATGAGAGAAAAAGTGGTTGAAAATGAAAGATGAGAGAGAAAAAATGATTGATTGATGTGTAGTAGAGAGAAAAAGTTATTTAAATTTTTTTTAATCAAACATATTTTTAGAATTTTTTCCAAAAACATGTTTTGAGAGACAAATCAAACATGCCCCAAATTTTTGTAATAATTTTTGGATATTCTAATGTATTGACCAAACATATAAAATATGAAATTATTAAATAATATATATTTAGGTGTTAGGTATAATTTATTTGAGCTATTTATAATTTATTTATTTTAATAGTTTATTTGGTGCAGTTTATTCCTATAGTTTATTAAATATAAATAACTTAACTAAATTATAATTACTGTAAAAAAATTTGATTATCTGAAATTTGGAAAAAATGTGTTTTTAACTTCTGCTTTTTAAATATTAATTTTTAATTTATAATAAATTGCACCAAATAGACCCATTATAATTTTTTTAATTTAAATTTTGTGATTTTAACATTATTGATTGAACTACCAATGCTATATGAATTAATAAATTTTGCAAATTATTTTACTTATTGATGTGCCATTTATTTATTATATAACTTAAATAGGTGAGGAATGATGAGACCATAATTTAAAATTTATAATTCATGATGGCATGTCAAGTAAGTTGGATTTTCGTTGTGTTTGTAATATACTAAAAAATCAACATATAATATGCCATATCACTGTGAGTAATTTAGGAGGAGAATTTTTCCATAAAGAAAAAAAAAAAAATTGTATGAAAATGATGAAATTTATTGTTTTATAATCAATGAAATGAGAATTTTAAATCATCAAATTAATATTTTAAACCTATTTTTTCGTCGAATTTATTTAATGGAAATAGAAAAATAATTTAAATTAAAAACAAATCAAAAATTTAATATTTAAATTGACAAAATTAAAAATTTAGAATTTTTTTTTTAATGGTCAAATCTTGAAATTTTTTGTTACTGTCATTTCTCATAAAAATTATCATAAATAAAAATAAAAATAAAAATAAAAATAAAATAATTAAGTAACAGACCTGCCATCTCCACGGATCGAAATGATAAGGTTGGTCAAAATGTGAAGGATCCAAATGCACGGCTGAAACGACCGGAAGCACTTTCCACCCATTTGGAATGTCATACCCTTTATATGATATAATAAATAATAACCACACATTAAAAAATAAAATAAAATTAGAGTGGGTCAAATTCCATTTTGATCATTGAATAAGACATAATTTTTTTTACATAAAGTGAAAATCGTGGCCGATTTAGTGATCTCATTCGATGCATATTAAAAAAAAAATAATAATAATAAAAAAATAAAAAAATTGAATTGTATACACTTATGTCACTTACCTTTATAGTGAACATCTTTGATAGCCTTTCTGTGAAGAAACCTCACAACATTACCGAACCTTAGAGTCTCGTTAATAACCTTCAAAAACATTTATACATATAATTATAACAATATTAAATTAACAATGTAAATTACAAAATTAAAATTTAAAAAAACCCACAATTGAAATTATTAAAGTGAGCTTACGCATTGAGTGAATTCCATCTTTTTGTAGTCATCCCAATTCAATTCTGTCTCTCCTGCTTGTTTCTTGGCTTTGACAATTTCCATGTGCTCTTCCTGAATTTAAAGTTCAAAAAAAAAAAAAAACATGATGATCAATTAAAGTAAATTAATCATACTTTCCAAATTTAAAACAACTTTCGTAAAACACAAATAAATAAATAAAATTAGGATAATAATGCACATAAATAGATATAACTTCTCTCAAGTTGGGAAGAAGACTGGACCGTGTTGTTAAATCTTTGTGGTGGCCAACACCACTTTAAAAATTATTTTTATTCACTTTTTTGGTCCTTATGCATATCATTTATGGGGGAAAAAAAAAATCAAACTAATCTAATAATCATGGTCATACAATTTTATTTTATTTATTTTTTAAAAAATAGACAAGTGTAATTTTAAAAATAAACCACTAATTTTTTTGAAGATAAATATGATAAAATCATATGTCTGCAATTATTGAATTAGTTTGATTTTTTCAATGAATAATCTGCACATAGAGTCTTAAAAAATGAGTAAAATGAATTATCCAAATAGACCCGGACCTAATTGCATGATCCAATCTTCTCTCGTGACCCAATTTTTTTTTTTTTGTTGTCAAACACAAAGATATGGGACTTACATTAATAAGTGTGAGTTTGGAAACAAACCAAATCAGTAATGTATTGGTTTATTGATTATTTTTATAATATAATCTTTCTATTTTTTTATACGTCTTTTTATAAAAAATTAAAAGATAAACGATGCCCAAACTCACCTACTTACATAAGTCTTTTGTGTCTAACCAATAAGTTATTAGAAAATATGATAAAAAGTAGTTTATGTATAGTATATTTTTCATAGAGATTGAGAAAGCTTTAGTGGTGTATGTATGGTTTACTTACGGTCAACTGTTGAACAACATTGGGAGAGTCTTGCAAGAAATATATGGCTAAAGCTATGGAAACAGAAGAAGTCTCATGGCCTGCAAACAGCAAGCTCAGTACCAAGTCCAAAATTTGCTCCTTTGAAAGGTTTGAATGCTTCAATGCCCATCCCAAAAGATCATCATCCTCCAAATTCTCTGTTTTTTCTCCCATCTTCTCCATCCTCTCTTCCATTTTTTCCTCTATGAATTTAAGGATTGTTGATCGAGACTGTTAATAAAAAAAAAAAAAAAAAAAAGAAAAAAAAGAAAGAATATAAATCTGGAAGAATTGATTACTTTACGTGCATTAATTTACCTGTCAACTATTATTGAATATTACTTTACTTGTCAAAATATCATATATTTAAACTCTTTTACTATAAAAACCATACGAGTATATCTGGAAGGATTGAAGAAAATCAAATTTTATATGATTTTAAAATTAGAAGTGAGTAAAATGATGTTTAATGATAATTGAGTGTAACAAAATGTAATCAACTCTTATATAGGATGAATATGCCTAACTTTATATTTTCATTTGGCCCCTGTTTTATTGTCTAAATTAGATAAAAGTAGGGGTGGTCGTGAATTGGGTTAGGTTAGGTGGTATCCTATCTACCATCTGTCTGCAATTCGGTGGATTGAAAAAATTAATCTGTGTCCGTCTATCAGTTTGGTGGATGCAGATTGAGCGGGGCCGTGCGGATTGACGGATGGATGCGATCAGTTTGGTAGATGCAGATTGAACGGGCCATGCAGGTTGACGGATGGATGTGGTTAGTTGGCAGTTTGAATTTTACAAATTTTGGACATTTTTTAAAATTATAATTCATAACTTTTACAATTTCCAATATTTAGTAATATGAAAAAAAAAAATGTATGATTTGTTTATAATAGTCCATGACACCGCGCATGCATATTTTTAAAGTATTATTTTTCATTTTTACAAAAATATATATTTTATTATTTCTATTCTATGTTGTTACTTGGTAGCAGCTTTTTTTGTTTTTCAAATTCATCTACCAGCAGATCGGGTTCATGCGAGTGCAGGGATGGTTGATCCACCATCTGAATCATATCTGTAAATTTTGAAATACTTCATCTGCATTCGCTTGCCGAAAGACACGCATCCATCCAAAATCAATCGAGTTAGGTCGGTTTAGTCTGGTTGAGCGGGTTAGACGGATCCATGATCATCCCTAGATAAAAGAAGTTGAGGTGAATATGTAATATTTAGGGATATTTATATATGAGATAAATTATATATATAGTGGGGTCTTTTTTATTATGTTTGGTTAAGATAAGATATACTGTGAGATAAAAGAACAATAATTATTTTTTATCGTTGGATGAAAGAGGAACATATATTCAATAGTATAGATATGCAATACTATGGACTGGTATTAGATATTTATTCTTTTAGATAAGATATGCAAAGATGTTATATTCGAAGTAACCAAACGTAGAACATAAGTAGACAAAAAACATGTAATACCCACGGGATTTTCTATCTAACCACCACCTATTTCCTCCTTTTATGTTTCTCAATCAAATAGTACTCAGGTAGTTAAATCTCGACAAGAGATATTTTATGTCGAAATCTCTATCTCAAATATACTCTCAATTATATGATCGTCTTTCTATTTCAAGATTTTCGCTATATTGTGTGATTGAGAATATACTTAAAATAGAGTGACAAAAATTTTAAGGACATTAAGATCTAACGGATCAAATCTCGTATCATGAGTTACCTTCAAGGCTTTTCTGTATGGTGTTCCAGGCAAGTTCAAAGGAGGAGATACAACTCCTTTCATGAAAGTAATGTACTCTTTCTTCAGCTCTTCTGTCTCTTGCTTTCCAGGATCCAGGCTCATGATATGTTTGGCCATTAAATTGAAAGTAAACTGCAGATACTTCTCAATAATTTAAAGCATTTGTACCACATATAACATATATATGTATATGTACACACACCCATATTTAATATGACGCAGTACACAGTAAAAAATCATAAAAAAATATACAAAATAAAATAAAATAAAATCCATGACCTAGAAGGGGAAGCAATTTGAAAACATCATATATGTTATGAAATTTACAATCAAGGCAATCAAAAGTGTTTTTTTTTTTTCACACAAACTCCAAAAAAAAAAAATGATTCTATTTGCTTTTATGAAACTGCTCTTTTGGGCGTTTTTAGAAATTTAAAAACATTATATAATAAAATAGAATATTATTTTTGAGAGATGTATACCTTCTTTGCTTCATCTTGAGCACAAAATGCAGAATTGTCCTCCCAAGAGCTTAGTACAAGCAAGGTTTGCTTCTCAACCTCAGGCAACAGATGTGTCTTGAGCCTAGCATTGCTCAAGAAGTTGAGAGAGATTATCCTCATATCTCTATGCATGTCTCCAACCAAAACCAACATTGACCATTTTCCAAGGATTCCTCCAATGCTTCTTGGGTAGCTACACTCAAACAACCTCCCTTCATTTTGCAATATGAATTTATTCAATCCAGCATCTGCAGAGACGATCGTTGGCTCTCCGAACAAATGGGACTTGTAAATTTTCCCAAACCTACAAAATATTCAAAACTTTGATTTATAGCTCAGTTAAAAAATATATCAGGTTTTAATTATCAGTTGATATGTATTATGATATTGATATTCATTGATATGTCAATTGATACTACTCAGGACTTGTAAATTTTCCCAAACTTGCAAGTATTCATAAGTTTGATACTTTGCTCAGTTCAAAAATTATGTCAGGACTTAAACATCAACTGATATGTATTCTGATATCGATATTTAGTGATATATCTGCCAATCCTGCTAGATATTGACTTAAATATGACTGTACCATCGATATAGATATGCATATGATATTGTTATTTGAAATTTTGATACCTTGATATGTGTTGCTCCATGAATTCTCCAATTGTGGTAGCTGAGTAAGGCTTCAAATAGCCTATGGTTTCACCAATAAAAGGCCAACCCATGTTGCCTGGTGGAAGATTAAGAGTGTTTTGCTTTGTCTTAAAGACATTGAAGATAAAAAATAGAGCTAAGATTGGTGGAAGGAGAATGAGAAAAAATTCTAAGTCAGACATGGAAACTGATTCTCTCTCTCTCTCTCTCTCTCTAGATGCTTAGTTGTGGTAAGGACTAAGCAGAAACTGAAATCAGATATCCCTCTTTTGAGAAGTTGTGCATTTGACAAAAATGTTTGGTGTGTTTGGAAGAAAGGAAAAGAAAACTTAATGGAAAGCTTTTCAGCTAATAACCTGTGCTTATATAGGCTTCTTTGCTTGTCGTCTTGCCATAATATAAACTATCAAACTTGATTTATTTTTTGAAAGTCTTTCGGTTCAGTAAAATAATCTTTCATTCTCTGAAAAGCTCTAAAAAGGTTGATAGGGTAACATGCTTCTCTTTTTTTGATTTTATTTGATTTTATTTTTTTATCATCTCCCCATACAACCAATAACATCACCAAAATGAAAAAGTTCTTGGATAGATCCAGTCTAGAATGTGATTGGATGAATGCTTAATAAATTATTGTCTTACTATTTAAATTATACACAAAGAAGTTAAACATATTAATTAATTTTTGAGATAATTGTTGATAAATCAATTTTTATGAGGATGTGACATTTAATCCAATGATTGATCTTTAATGAAGATAAAGATATGATTAATGAAATTGTTTGGTGGAAAAGACAAACTATTATGTTAAAGTTTTTTTTTTTTTGTTTTTTCAATTTTACTTGCTAGTTCACTGCTAGCTGGCCATCGACACCAAAGAAGTTGCCAGTGCCAGAAAAATGGTCAAAAAAAATCGCTGGTGATGGCAACTAGTGGTGGTGCTGATATGAATAGATAGAAAAATTATGTGGACATATAGATGATACATAGATAAATTGAAGGATGACGCGTGAATAAATAAATAAATCAATAAATAACACTTGAAGAGATAGGTGGATAGTGAACAAATAGATATATAAGTAGAGGGACTAAGGTCTTTTCAAATTGTTTTATTATTTTGGTCTCAAAAGAATAGACCATAGGACTGTTGTTCCAAAATTTAAAATTAGATTTATAATTCAGGTTTCCTTAATTATTCCACTTAATGGTAAGGGTGTGATCCGGATGGATTTGATTGGGTTAAAAGGTTATTTAAGCTCAATTCATATTGTGTTGGGAGTTATTGAAGACTGTCCAAACTTAAATTATAACTTGAATTTGTCTACTCAAACTTAACTTGACAAATATAACTCAAGTTGTGATCATCCAATCACCAGCTGGAGAGTACCCTCAAAAAAATTATTAAAAAAAAAGAAAGAAGCAACCTACACCAGAATGCAGAAAAGCTCCATAGAATGAGTTCAGATTAGCTTTATGATAAACTTATGGAGGCCCATCAGTACCCTCCCATCCTTAAATAATAAAATTTAAGAAAAATTACAAAAGAAAACCCTTGTAACAAAATAAATCATGAATTATTAATTTTATCAATTTAAATTCTAATTTATTAAAAAAAACTAAAATATTATAATTTAAATTGATAAAATTAAAATTTTATAATTTAATTTTTTACAAGACTCAAATTCTAAATTTTTTTTAATATAATTTTTTCTAAAATTTATTATGCGATATGAAAAATCACATTAGAAATATTGATAAAATTAAAATATTTGAGGATTTTTTTTTAAGATAGATTTTATACGATAAATAACATATAATATTTTCATAATAGTTAAAATCCCTTAACATTTTCACAGAAAAAATTTGACTCAGAGAAATTTCAGCTGACTCAAAGAAATTTCGGCCCTAACATAGAGAAATTTCTCTAATATGATCAGAAAAAATTTCATCAAGGAACATTAAAAAATATATTTATTTGACCTTTTGTATTACACAAAATTAGGGAGATATTTCACTAATTTTTTAAAAATATTTCAATCACATTTAGCAATATATATATATATATATATTTTAATTCTTGTATGAATATGCGTAGAACTTATCCATAGTACTTACATCACAACGGAAGCAGATTGGTCGCAAGAAGTGTATTGTTGTGATTGGTCACATCGTACCGTAACATATTACGTACGAACCGTATGGACGAAGTTAGGAGGTGAAAACCACCATTGCCTCCGTTTCTTCTCACACTCCCCATCTTTGAGATTGAACTGAAGTGCGCGGTTAAAGTGTGTAAATATTCATTACAAATTTTATTTTGAAGATTTAAATGATTTTATGTATAAAATTTATTAATTATTTTATTTTTTAAAAAATTCACATTAATTAGATAGCGATAATTATTTTAATTAAATTATATTTTTATCAACGATAAATATAATTTTCAAAATTTACACATGATTTTAGTCTTAAATTTTTTTTGTGAATTTTTTTATATTATATTTTGTTATCTAAGCTTGGAGTATGTTAACTCACATTTCATTAGAGAAATAAGAGATAATTTTTTTTTTTTTGTAAATTACAATTTTTTATTTATTGATAATATTAAATATAATAATCATAATATTTTGAGAATACCTAATTTCGTGTGGTATTAGGCTAACAGAGCAAATGGGTAGTGGGACCCGACCCGAGTAGAGGACAGGACCAAATAAATAATTGGATTTTTTTCCAACAATGATAGAGACCACTAATTTTGGAGCTCTAAAAAGATCACTAATGACATGACACTCAATAAAAAAAGAAAAAAAAATACAACACCAAGGCCAAAACATCAAATCATTCATGGTGGGGCCCACTGCCACATCATTAATGGTAGCACTAATTAGTGCTCTCACTCATTTTTCTTTTTTTTTCTCTTCACTCATTGGTGATTGGACGGTGGGACATGTTCTCTCTTTGCTTGTTATTAATGATACTTTAATGAGTTGCGAATACATATATTAAAAAATGTTAATAAATTTAATTAATTAATTTATTTATTTTGTAGATTTCAATGCATATTTTGTGCATTCATGGAATCTAATAACAATCTTATCCACTGTTGGTTACATATTTTGTATAAGTTAATTACACTTCGACACGTGGCAGGTTGAGGGTAATATGGGAAGACAACTCAAACCTTCGATCGTGATCGTACACGTGGCAGTTAATATTGATTTTTCATAAGATCTGCGTAGTATTGGATCAGCAAAAAGATGCAAAGTGATGTGGCTTCAACGATTGCTCACATTTAAATTCAAAAATCAGGAGGGAAGCCTAACTGCAGGTATTGGCATAGTGGAGGTAACTATAAGGCAACATGATCAGCGATCATGGAGGAGCAGTTCGACGGTTAGAAGTGCAGTTCGATAGTTCTCCTTGAGAAATATAAATAGCAGAGAAGGCCCCAGAAAAAGCCCTAGACTCAGATCCAAAAAACCAGTTTTGTTCTACTTTATTTCCTTTCCAGTTTTACATTTCCTGTTCTTTGTATTTCTGTACTTTAAAATTCCTGCACTGCACTTCGTTCATAGGAGTAATTTCAAGTAAATTGTTGCTGTAAACCTTTACGAGGCTGAATTGGATCATTGTAAATCTTTCGTTTTACTTAATGAAATACTGCAATTGTTCTTCATTTAATCATTGTCAGTTTATTCCTCCTAAGTAAAGCCACCAGTAAAAGTCCTCTTCATTGAGGCTGAAGAACTAAAACACAATCGTCTGATAATTGGTTGGCAATTAAATTTCTGTAAGAACTGATTGATCCTTGCTGGCACGCTCAAAATTACTGTAATAACCTTCGAAAGCCAAAAAAGCCAACATATATTTTTGGCACGCCTAGTGGGACTAATTGAAATGGCTAGACGTAGGAGACAAGAAGAAAATGAACGCTTGGAAGGAGGTGTGGAAGGAGAGGTAGAAATATCAAATCCAGAGGATAATGTGATAACACATCCTGTGGAAACACCCATTTTATCAGAACCTATGGTCGAACAGACCAGCACTTCGGAACAAGTACCATATGTTCATAATATTGGACGAGGCCAAGGAATTAGACCATCCACTGTTTCATCTACTCAGCCAATGAATCCATGGGGTGGCCTAGTAGATGCCATGGGATAGCAGTTAATAAACACAATGGAAAGGTGGGTAACATCCTTTTTGGATCGAATGAATACCCACCAACCAACCAATGCAAGGCATATAGAGGAAAATTCAAATGCCCCTCAACAAAGATTGGCTAGAGATAAACATCCTATGCAGAGTAATGGGCATACTAATGGTCAAACTAGTAACCAAAACCATGAAAGACCACCACCTCAGTCTTGGTATGAGCCTCTTTCGAGGCCTATGGCAAATCAAAATGCTTCATTACTTTACAGTGAAGCCATGGAAATTGGTGGATCTGGCCCAGTACAAGAAAATGGTGTAAGGATGGTTCCAAATCCCATGTTCGAAGCCATACCTGGCACGAGGGGGCTCACTAACCCTTTATTCGAATTTATACCCGGGGGGTTGGAAGGTTTTCCTGCAACTGGAAGAGACACAACACCTGTTCCAGCACCTTTCGCAAGTCCTTTTGCAAGACATGCTCAAAGAAGTCATCCATACCCTCAACAGCAGCCAGCACCATAGGGACAACCAGTCCTAAACATACCACCCTATAGATCAAGAGGACCCCAGGCACAAGGTTGTCTATTAAATCATGTGTTTGTTCCTCCAGTAGTGGTTCAACAGGCACAAAATATGGTCCCTAGGGACCAAATTGTTGACATTGTTAGAGAGATGTGTGGACCAATGGCTCGGGGATTCAAACTCCTGTGTACAGGAAGCCATATCCAGAATGGGTAGATAGGGTACATGAATACCCAAGGGGGTTTAGGATACCCGACTTCGCTCTTTTTTATGGGAATGAAAACCATCAATGGTTGAACATATTGCTAGGTTTGCTGCTCAGTGTGGTGAATTTACTAACAATGACTATATGAAGTTAAGCTTGTTCTCAAACTCTCTAACTGGGGCAACATTTGTATGGTATAGTAACCTTACACCTGACTCTATCTAAACTTGGCAACAAATGGAAGAGGCAATTCATGCCCAATTCTTCCAAACAGAGCCAGAGGTTTTCATGGCAGACTTGGCAAGATTGAGTCAAAGGCCTGATAAGAAGGCTACTCAGTTTATTGCCAGATTTAAAAGAGCACGAAATAAATGTAGGATCATCTTACCAGAGCCTAAATTTGTGAGATTGGCTCAAAATGGTCTAGAGTTTAGGCTTCGAAAGAAGTTTGATTCAACTGAGTTTAGAAACTTAGT